GGTTGAAAACATGGAGTGCTTTAAAGGGATAACATCCTAAAGAGATAACAGTGAAGTTTTGTGACTTGGCTCATGATGTTTATTGTGTGAGTTTAGGGTAAAAGAGATGTGTTCCGCATTGTCCACAGGGTGTATGGCAGCTTTCAGAGTGGGAATTTAATAGTTTTCAACAGAGTTGTTACTCTAGAAAAGACAAAGGAGTCACAAACCAATAGAAAAGAAAGCGGAATGTAGGAGAGAGAATTAGCCCAGGGGATTGGACAGCAGTTACACTAAGCATACCAGTCAGATTACACCTGGAATGTTATATTAAAAGCTCATCAAATAAGCATTCGAAGGAAATGGAAATGTTTTATCGGTAAATGTTGGGGGAACATGACAGCTGTCTTAGCTTTAAAAGAGCTCATAGATGGGAAATGAATAAAATTTATCCTTTGTGATTCAAGTACATGTAGTACCTTTTGAAAGGACCTTTCAGAGAGGCCACTTTTGATACCAGGAATGAGTAAATCGGACCTCTTCAAAAGCAGCCTGGACAATCTTCTTGACATTTATACTTAAAGTGAATACTGTACTGGAAATTCAAGTTATCACTCTAAAGGATTTCTTTATGAAGTGACAGGTCAACTAGACAAACTCTTAGCTTCCCTTCAACGTATTTCAAGAATCAAATAAATGTTAGGAAATTAGACATCATGTGGATCGTGACTGCATTGCTAATGGAGTGATATTTTTTCCAATATAAAAGTTTATTACCAAAGTATACCACTGGCCTGTGAATCTTCATCTTCTGTGGCATCTTTAGACCATTTTACTTATTGTTCATCATTTACTTTTACCATGTGTTGTACAATATTGTCCTCTGAGTAGAACAGGCTTTAATTCTGTCAGAATAGCTACAACTTCTTCCAACATACACCTGAGATCGATCCTGTTGACTATTGACCTTCCATCCTGGATGGAGGAGGTATAGAAGTTCACTGGGCCTTCACCTGAGATTCCAGTCCCTCCCTCTGGAAATTCCCAGTCAGCTGTAAGATTCCTCACTGCTCCTGGGCCTGTAGTCTCAGGAGATGAGTGATTATGTGGACTATGGAAGGTTAACTGAAGGTGGGACTCCATCTAGGCAGCTCTGGGAAATCATGCTTGGGTGAGGCTTTTTGGTGGTATGGCTGCTTCAGGGTCACCCACACTCCTGTAAGCAACCCTCAACCACACCTCATAAGTAAGTCCAATAAATTCATTGGTTCTCCAAGTTGGACGTAAGTAAATCATACTTTTCTTTGTCTGAGGTGCTTTATAAGAAGAGAGTAGATGTTCGTTTACATCTCTCCAGGGAAAGAGTTCTTGAAGCACTATGCAGCACTATTTTAGAAAACATTTTACTGACATAGTTATAATAAAGTCCTTCTGAATATAGAACAAATGAAACATGAGTTTAGACAACACAACAGTATTTAAACTCTGTTTTCTTCCTAAGTATCAGTATTTGTAATTTCTTTTAATTTTTAGTCATAGCATTATGTTAAAATTTTTAGGTTAATATAAAATCCCAGAACATCGTTAGTCATGACTGTGAAAACAATAAAAAAAGCCTTTTTTTAAAAAAAAAAACTTTTTTTTTTTTATTATGTGCCCATGTGCTATGATGTTAGACTCTGAGATAGCTTCTAAAGTTGATTGGATTAGATCAAAGTTCTTTTTGTCATTTCTATGTCTTAACAAGGTTGCCAAGCAGACATGGTCAAAGATTAAGAGTAGACTTTATCTGCTGAGTCCCAGCCTCTTTCATGCCTTAGAAGTCAAGAAGCCACAGGAAACAAAGGAGAATTTGATTCATCTTAGTGTAGATGTAATTTTGATTTGTAGTATTCAAAATCAGAAACTATGAGTCACAGACAAAGTCAAATCAGATAAAATTATAAGGTACATTTTAATTTTAAGTAGAGATATTAACTTTTCCATCTCTGGAGCTCTAGCAGCTCCAGGCAGATAGCTGAGGGTTGGCACTAATTCAGATGTAAACAGCAATGCAAGACCAACAAAACAAGAGAAAAGTTCCTGATGTGGTGTCTACCCTACCCTGAGTTTGCTGTTTTATAATTATAATCTGGAGGAATGCATGTGCCTCTGTGTGATTAGTACATTTTATTTTTCTCAGAAGACAGGTTACAAAACATACTCTGCAAAGCTCTTAACTCTTTCCAACAGAGGCAAGCCATCAAGGCAGTCAGTGGAAGAAAGCATTTGGCCTGAGGCCTAGGGTTATTGGTAAACCACAATTTCTTGGGCTGCCACTAAAATTTAAATTAAGTAGCAACAAGGCTTATAAACTCACATTATGACCCAAACTTTATGATCCTTTTATACTCCTGGGTTCTGATCACAATGAAACTTTCTCCTTCTGAAGCAATTTAATATAAACATTCCTTTGGCAGACTATAAAATGTGATTTTTTTCAGGCGACCTTTTATAGGTATGATGGGTACATATTGTGTGCCCAGTTGGAAAAGGGGAGAAAAAAGAAGAAACAATCATAATGTAAGCGTGGAAACATATGTGTTGTACTCCTAAAAAACAGATTTTCACATGAAAAAAAAATTCAGAAAGATCTTCATAGCCCAATTTTTGCTTTTTTCTGCAGAAGACAGATGAACAGAATTTTGGCTGAACATTTAAGCCCGTTAAAGACTCAGAAGCTCAACATTTAGAAATTTCCCAGCTCCCAAAGTCATTTTGTATGCGCTCTCTTTCCTAGCCCCAACAAGACTGTTTCTCTTTATAAATGGAAAATATCTCTTGCACCTGCGAGTCTATTCCTAAGCAATAGCTCCTGAACATTTTCGCTGAGTAAAGAAACAAGAAAATAACAAAGTTTTAATGTTATAGTTCTATTTTAATAGGTAACCTAAGATTAATGCCAATAAGTTTTGGGAGAATTATGCTCTTAACAACACTAGGGAAAACGGAACACTGAAAGTAAATGATAAAAATGGTAGGGACATGTGCAAAGACTGTGTAGAGAGAGGGTATATATGGGTCCATATTTAGTACATGAACCCCCAGACATGCATAACTCCAGCTCCTGGGGATCCAACGCCCTTTTCTGGCCCATGTGGGCATTGCGTGCACATGGTGTACATACATACAAGCAGGCAAACACTCAAATACTAAATAATAAATCTTTAAAAAAATATTTAAGTTATTATTTTCAGTTCATGTATTGAATGTATTGCCTGCATGTATGTAAGTACACATGTGTCATATAATGCCCAGGGAGGTCAGAAGAGGGCATTGTAATTCCCTGGAGTAACAGATAGTTGTTAGCTGCCACATGGGTGCTGGGAATTGATCCTGGGTCCTCTGTAAATCTTCTAGTGCTCTTAACCACTGAGCCATCTCTCCAGCCCAATAAATAAATAAATCTTAAAAAACGGTGAGTTATATCAGGTAATAGATGTGATAACCGAATTGAATATATCAAACATTTCAGTCATCACAATATATGTATATATCAAATAATGGTAATATGAACCTTAAACTTACAGAATTTCATTTTGGCATTTATGCATCAATAAAGTTGGAAAAAATGAGGCATATTTACAAGTGGGACGGACTCAGTGAATTTAAATATATGTATATACAGATATATATTTATATACAGATATTGTGTGTCATCTGTCTCTGTACACAAATTCATACACAGTATCATTTACCCTTAAAAATACCTTCCATTTTAGATAACATGCATGAACCTGGAAGATATTAAGAAAAATAAGTCAGGCACAGAAAGACAGTACTGATGGGGATCAGTTAACCTGTGGACTATGGAAACATCAAATGAAGCTGGGCCTCAGAGTGGTAGCTGCCAGAGCAGAGGTTAGAGACTGGAGAGATGTAGGTCAAAGGTTACAAACACTCAGTTATAAAATGACTGATCTCTGGATCCACAATAAACAGACAGTGACTATATTAACGTATAGCTGAAATTTGCTATGAAGATGGATCAGTATTCTTAGCATGCGTGCACACGCACACACACACACAAATGACAAATATGTGAGATAAAGAATAATATTTATATATGTATATATGAATACCTTGAATATATAACATCTTTATAATTTTCTATTGGGTAATAACATTGAAAACTTGAGGCATTGACTATTTGAGGGGAGAAAAAACACAATTGACTAATTTGTTGGAAAACTTCCTTGATGCTCAATGTAGCAATTTCCTGTGTCAAAAGAAGACCTGACTGATGGGGCATGGCCACATCCTTTCTGAATCTGATCTCTCCTGTTCCTTTTGTCCCCCACTGTAGTACAATACCACCCCATGACCTTCCTACTCTTTGAGTGGTACAACATGTGTTTGCAACCCACTCAGTGCTATAGTACCAAAACCCAGGGGAAAAATAGAGATGAGTATGGAGTTCCTTGCAGGGCGACCATGGTCAGGCCACCTCAGCCTTGGGGCAATGCAGGTCGGCAGCTGCCTAAGCGGATTCGTGGGCTGTTTTTGCTAAGACATTTGTAAATTTTAGTTGCATCTAATTTTAGAAAATCTTTAATACTTCTCTTAAGTCAAGAAACAACCAGCATCATGGTCACAACAAAAATCCTCGTACCTTTTTGTGTTTTCAAGTTTCTGGAGAAAGAAAATAGGGGGTTAGGGGGCAGAAAGGAGTAACTGAGTTGCGAGTGCGTTCGCCGGAGTTGACTGGAGGCATTACTAAGTTCCATAGTGCCGTGACTTGCCTTTAGAGTTCTGGCACTTTGGCACTCTTGATATGTGATTTGCCCAAGTCTGTGTCCTTAGTTTACCAACCATTTAGTCACCTGATTGGAAGACCTGCTAATGGAACTTTACAGACTGATAGCTACCTATTGAAAAAGGCTACTATTTCCTATCATCTCTCACATACATTCAGTTTCATTTATTTTATTTTATTTTATTTTATCATTTTTTAATTTTATTTATTTATTTTTAATTTTTTGGCATGTTTCTGATCAGGGTGCCAATAGAGGCACTGACTGCCTCCACTGGTGAACCAAGACCAGCAGATCCTCTTCAAGAACTCTAGCACACTAGGACAAGTAACCATGTCAGGATGTGACGCCAATCTATAGACTGCCTCCTTTTTTAAAAAAAACAAGAAACATTTGCACATTCACAGTTTCTTTTACCAAGAAATTTTCAAAATTCTGCTCAGTCTGAAGTAATTACCCTTTCCTTTCTCTATAAAACGTGTTTTGAAGAGAAATTATAATTTTTCTCATAATGTTTCTCTTAAAAACTAGCTTTCTACAGTGCCCTCAACTGATGCATAATGTTGTATTTCAGAAAAACATGGATTGTTGCAATTTCATAAAATAATTAGGTTGAATCATAGCCACAGAACTTGAAATTGGTTTACGAGAAAATGTCTACTGTTTCAGTCTCCATGTTACACCAGAAAGAACTATCTGAGCACTGGAACTCAATTTGGGAACAAAATGGGAAAGCAAAATAAAATTGAAAAATAACAGTCAGTAGACATTTTTTCATCCTGTATACACATTTTCAAAGAAATACCATTTGGGGAACTGTGTAATTTCAAAAGTTGGTTTCCAGAGGGAGGAAAAGATTCTTTTAGCTTCTAGGTTGATACAATGACTTTTAGTTTTATGGGTTACTGAAAAGTCACAGGAATTTAAATTAACAATTGGATACAGGATCAATATATGGAAGTTACTTCTTGAAGTGTAATCACAGTTGTACCTCACATACCCTGTATGACGCTGTCGTTTTCTGCCTAGCACACCGTAGAATTGAACACCTTAACAAAATAGCATCCACCACACTAGGCAGAGGATATAAATGAGCTGTAGAAATACCAATCATACGGAGAATGGGTCCAGGTCGTTCCTTGAGTTTCAGGAGCATTAGACACTCTGCATAGAAATTCAGTATTTGTCTACATCTCATTCATATTGATGAGCAACTGGCCAGTACCCAATTCAACATTTTAAAGTGTCTAATAGATTGATAATTTATGTGATCTAAGGTAATGTATAAATTTTATTAGGATGACTGTTTTATTACACATGGTTCATTTTCTTTGATATAACATCCAGAAGCCAGGGGAAGAGATAAACAGGGGATATAGAGAGGGACTTTCAGAGAGGTAACTGTCATAGGAGAGTCAGTAGGAGATAAAAGAATTTGTACATAGCTTTTTTCCTTTGTAATATTCTGGTATTTTGGGTTACATCTGTATTTTCAGTTGTTTTTATAGTGATTAAAACAGTTTTTAGTGTATTGTCAGGTAACTAAAGAAATACAGTTTTTGTCAATTTAGGATGCAAGAATGCGTAACATTGGAAAATCAACGAGAATTCAAAAGCAGTATTTTCTTATTTAAAACAAAAATAAGCTTTGGTATATATCATCATGTGTAAGGTGTTATGTTGAAATATCTTAAAAAGATCTGTTTCTCTTAGGAACCTGTTTAGGTGAATGTTGTTTTTATTCCTAAGAGACAGAGCTGTTAACATTTTGAAGCAAATCTTCACAAGTTTTTCCTCCATACACATCAGCTTATCCACACATGTGAGGGCACTCAAATTTCACTTTTAACACAATCAGCATCATCCTTTCATTCTGTTTGTGACTTTTCAGAATTTGAATTTCCTATAAATATTTTCCCATGTTATTAAACATCTTGCAACATGACAGTGTTTGAATTGTCTGCTGTCAATTCTTTAACTTTTATTTGATATTTAATTTTTCCCTGTGATAAATAAGATTGCAAATTGTATAATTGTATCTGAGCTCATAAATATTTTTATGTTTTTCAAAATCAAACTACATTTTATGCTATGGAAAATTTTACATTGTCTGGGATTATTCCTTGCTCTTTGAAATATCAAAAACAGACCTGTCTGCATCTGAGTCAATCTCTTCCCAATTCAAAGTTTCCTTTTTGATTAATTTTTGCATTGTTTTTATATTTTTGTACTATTGACAATGTTTTAGAGTTCATTTAAAAACGATTGTGTATTTTTCTGGGGAAAATAATCATTTTATCTAAGCTTTGAATTGATTAGTCCAGCCTTTGTGTACAGTACTGATTTTCAAAGAGTCTATGTAAAGCCTCGTTCCTTTTCATTTACAGTTTTGTACACTTTAATGGTGGCTTTCTTCATTATTTTTGGCAAAAGACATTTATTATATTGTATTTAAAACCAAAATAGATCTTTAATTCTTATAGAATTTTGTTGTCTTTTTTATTTCTAATGCTGTGATCCAAGGTATAGAACCATCATTGACTGACACAGGACTAGTTAGAAGTGTTGCCTTTTTGTTTTAATGATGAGAAACCCTCCATAGTTGGTATAAACAATGGTGGTTATTGTAAAGGTGACTCTAATTGAAATTACCTCCTAGGTACACCAACTTGTTTACCTTATGCATCAGGGGAACAGAGTTAACCTTTATTATATGATTAATACACTTGGGAATAGACTCTAAGTGATTATTGTTCCTATAATTTTTACTGATAATTTTAAAACTGGTTATTGTGTGTGTGTGTGTGTGTGTGTGTGTATGAGTCTCTGTGTACCTGTGTGCTAACATACATGTTCCAGGGCATGGATGTGGAAGTGAGAGGACAATTTTCAGGAGTCAGTTCTCTCCTTCTACCATGTGAGTCCTAGGGGTTGAACTCACGCTATCAGGGTTGGCAGCAAACTCCTTTACCCACTGAGCCATTTTGCTGACTTAAGAATTTTAGGAAGAGTTTAAAGACATTTAATGAGGACCTAGCAAATTATAAAGTTAATTAAATTAATTAATTAGTTCACTTACCCATCAACTATTCTTGGAATGTATTCTATGGAGCAATAACTGAGGTATTTGTCAGAAATATTAAAATGAAGAAAATATAATTTTTGTTTTCAAGAAGCTTGAAGTCCAGCGGGAGGGTTAGGCAAAGTGATTACAAGGCTGTTTTAGATTGTTGAGGGAAGGCAAGGTAGGAACCTGGACAGAGGGACCAAAGAAAAGCCCTGGAGGAACACTGCTCACTGGCTTGCTCCCCTGACTTGTTTGGCTGCCTTTCTTATACAGCCCAGGCCCATGTGCCCAGGAATGGCACCTCCCACAGTTTAATGTGTCCACTAACATTAATTATCAACTAAGAAAATGCCTTATGAGGCCAGAGAGATGGTTCAGCAATTAAGAACACTTACTGCACTTCCAAAGCACCAGGTTCAGTGCCCACATGGCAACTAACATCTGTCCTTAACTCTAGTTCCAGGGGTTTTGACTCCCTCTTCTGGCCTCCACAGGCACTAAGCATACACATGGTGCACATACATACATGCAAACAAAACACTCATACACATAAAATTAAAAAACAAAATTTTAAAGAAAATACCTCATAGACACGCCCACAGACCAGTCTGTAGGAGGAAATTCCTCTTCTCAGGTAACGTTAGTTTGTACCGAGTTTACAAAACAAACCAGCACAAATGCCATGTGATAGATGTTATAATTGGGAAATCCATGCAACTCTATGGCAGTAGAAAGAACAATCCACTTAGGAAAGTCACAGAGGAGATCATAGAAGCCTAGAAACTTAATTCAGATGAGACATTGCCAAGCACAGATTTTGAAAGTGATGCTTAAGGAAGGGATGAAGCATAGAAACAGCAAAGGCATGGTGTACCGTAGGTTGTGGTGGGCGACAGCAGAGTGTCTGCATCAGAAGGGCCAGGCAGAGCCCAGCATTGGGAGGCCATCCCCTGGGAAGGGGCAAGGCGGAAGTGGCATACTCCTCCATACGTGATTCAGATTTATGTCCTGGATGAGGATTTCAGGTTGAGGAATTTTGTCAGACTCACTCACTGTCACATCCTCTGTAGAGAAAGAGTCTACACATAGTAGGTCTGCAATTCATAAGTGCTTACTGGTTGAGAAGTTTAATTCTATTAAGACCATGATCAAAAGACAGAATTTCACACAGTGTGAGATAGCAGTTTGCAACATTTTATAACATTTCGGTGCTGATTCAAACTGCTACGTCTAGAAGAACCAATCTCCTTTAATTTTAGAATAATTCAGGTGAATTTAATTATATTCACAATCTGTATGATATCATTTTTCTTTTCTTAAGCCAGTCAATAGAAAGTTTTGAAGAGTTCATTGTAGTGCACATTACTATGGCCTAATTGAGAGCTTTTAGAGTATTGACCCCTGCTTCAATGTTTACAGGAATTAGTTATGTATGGTGCTCCCACTGCACATATAAATGGGAATATGTTCATAAAGATCTTGGGAGTCAATATCAACAGCAATAAAAACTAAGAGTTCATGTATTGGCTGCTTATCTTTCCTTTGCAGGGTTTAGAATCCCAGATTCTTAGGCTAGCTAAGTGATCATATGCACCTTGCAAGTCCTTCTCCTACTTGTATGAGAAAGGTTTTTTTTTTTTTTAAAGTTAAGTAGATTTATATTAGAGATTTATTTAGCAGATTCATGTGGATCAGTTCCCTTCACTGATGAAAGAGTAAGATAATAGACCATTTCACAATATGATTTATTAGGAGACTAAAAAAAACTAAAAATGCCTCAAATATCAACTGAATTGTAAAAATGGGAGGGTGTGTTTTATTCATATGACACTTAACATATGCACATTTTTGCAATCAAATATTTTGAAAAATTATGTTGAACTTATTTAACAAAGTCATATTTGTCTAAAACTGCACTGTGGGACTGCCATTATTCTTTGGTCCATGAGGTACTAGCGGACATATATCTAGTGCTTTAGCATGGTTTTGTGAATGAGGTAAATGCAGGGAGGAGAGATATAGACATGCATGAAGGACACAGAGTTGCCTAAAATGAAGATGGGGTCAGTCATTTGAAGTAGATGAGGGAAGAGTATTTTTTATTTTAACTTTAACAAGGCATCATGAGCAGTGTTTTTATCCTTAGTCCTCTACCTACCTCCTTAGTTTTCACTTTCCTTTAGGAGGCCACACAGGCTTATAACCCATGAATTATATTTTCTCTCAGATTTATTTTAAAGGGTTTACTTAATATTAAAAGGAAATATAGGATGACATGTGTTTGAAATGAAAT